AAGTTTTAAAAAAAATTGCAATGAGAATTTTTTTTTTTTTTTTTTTTTTGAGTTTGATGATTCAGAAATGTGAAATTGAATGGCTTATATATTTTTTAAATTTGTGCAAATTTATCAGGATGGATTCGTGGCTTGGTTCGATCCCCCAATGTGCCCTAGGTCAAAGAAGATTATACCGGGCTTATTGAAGAAAATTAACAAAAGTGAAGAAGAAGACATATTTAAAATGCAAGTTGAGCATATGGGAAAACATTCAAATTAAGAATAATCGTAGGAGTACAAAATGTAGATCCATGATGATGTTGGTTGCAGTTGCCCTTATTGTACTATTAATTTGTTATCTTTCAATTGTTGTATCTGTAGGGAACAACATGCATATGCTTCCATAATTGTTGTTTGGATTATCAATGGATTAACGGAGTGTTCTTGTTTTGGTCAATTGTCATGTGTCACTTTTCACAGCAAAGTTAAAAGCATGTTCACTGCCAAAGCTACACAATTAACAAGCAAAGCTATTGATAAACCAAAGCAAAGATACAAAGCAAAGCTGCCAATAAACACCATTTCATTCACTGCCAATTTCAATTTTAAAAGCAAAGCTAGAATGTCAGTTTTGATGTCAAAAAAGCAAGGCTGAGACAGTGAGGATTAACTGCTTACATAGAACACAAAAACAACATCAAAGATCTACCCCATCATACATATTATGTACCAAAAAAACAGCAACACTGCCTACAATTCAAACATCATAATGTCATTCATTCAAGTCCACAGGTGTGTCCACAGTGTTGGTGAACCTTGACTTCATGGTTGTCCTAGATCTTGTCATAGGTTCCCTCCTAAGTGGTAATTTGTTCATTGATGTCAACTCTAATTTAGACCTTTTGGGAGGAGGTCTAACACAAACGTTCTCTGGCTGTGGTGTAACAGAAACATGCTCTGGCTGTGTAATTGAGATTTCATCAGGTTGAGGTCCATTGTCATACCTTGCTGCCACCTTTACTGCTTCATTCCAAAATTCAGTCATGTCTCCAGCTACAACACTACTCCCTTCTACTGCAAGTGGAGTCCCAATAGCTACTGCAAGTGGAGTCCAGTAGCTGCTTTTGCATATTTGTTCTTCCTTGTCCTTTTTCTTGGATTGAGCTACATCACAAAGAAACAATGGATTTCAGTTTCCAAGACAGTAAATATATGCATACATTAGAAGTAGTTGTTGTCAATACCTTTCTTTGTCTTGCAGAAGGATCTTGAGGGCATGTTCTAGAGTTATGACCAGTCTTATTGCATTTCCTACAATGCTTAACTAGCAAGCTAGGTTTCACATGTGTCCCATCCTTGGTGATTTCATCTCTGCCCTGCTTCTCAATTTCTTGGGTCTTCCAACCTTGGTTGTGTATAGTGGAGGCAATGGTGGTTCCTTGTTTGACCTTGGTCATTCACTTGGACCAGAAAGTGGCTTTATCCTCCCTCTATAGGTATTCAAGTAATTGTTTATTGAGTAGCAATGGTGTACATAATTATGCACATGCCCTTTTCCATGTGTCGTCCAGATGGCACACACAACATGTTTACAAGGTATCCCAGTTAAGTCCCACCTCCTACAACTACAACTACCCCTTAACAAATCCAATGTATGTTGCTCTAACCCCTCTAGCCCTACCCTACCATGCACCTTATCTCAAATAGATTATCATCACTTTGAGTCCCTAAACATCTAGAAGCAGCCCTCTCAATTAAGGAAATTTTTTTCATTATTGAAGGACAGAATGGACCCTTCCAGTTAATAGCCTTTTGTTTATTTTCAAATATTCTTGCCATAAGTAACTTCCTAATAGATTATACAGAAGATATTAGTGGTTTTGCCCTTGCATCTAAAATCATGGCATTGAAATGTTCTGATATGTTGTTCACTAATGCATCAGAATTAGAAAAAGTTGTGAAATGGGATCTTGACCATTCTGAAGGGTGTTTCTCAGCTAGCCATAGGTATGCATCCACATCTAACTTCTTGATCTCCTCCATAGCTTCAGTGAAGCTATTTACTGGTGTTGCCTTGGCTGCTGCCCATAAACAATCCTTCATTGCCTTGCCCACAAAACCTGCCAGCTTCATGTTCCCATGGAGATGCCTAACACAAAATCTATGTGTAGCATTTGGTAGCACTAACTCAAATGCAGGCAAGAGACCTTTATGTTTGTCTAGAATATGAAAACGTTTAAACAGAATTAGTGCACATCCTAATTCAAATCCTCAAATTGATAAAATTCAAATGCACATCCTTAAAAAAAAAAAAAACAGAATTGATAGTGGCAGAAAGTAAACATAATTGAAAATTCAGAATTCAAAATTCTATACCTAAAATAAAGGTTAGTTGTTGTTCAACTTCTGGTGTGATATCTAGGTCCATCTTAAGCAACTGCAATAACCAAGTCCATGAATCTTTTGTTTCTCCTTCTATAATGACATAAGCCAATGGGAATATACTATCATTCCCATCTAAAGTGACAACAGTTAAAAGTTGTCCTCCAAACTTGTTCTTTAGATGGGTGCCATCTACTCCAATTATCTTCCTACAAAACTTGTATCCCACCTTGCAAGTTTCCCAACAAAAGTACATCCTAAGAAATCTGAATTTTTCATCATACATCAATTCAGTTTTCTTGACATCGTAAGAAGTCCTTGGGTTAGTTTTGTCAATCTCTAAACAATAATTCCAGATCTTGTTAAAAAACTCAAGTGCATCTCCTTCAATTACTGCATTTGTTCTTCTTATTGTTCTATAGGCTTTCTTGTTACTTATCTTCATTCCTTCATCAGTGTTCACCTTGTCTCTAAACTATGCACTTGTCCAGTTTAAGGTGCCTCCAATCTCTTTTATCCATCTCTTGGCAAGTCTAGTTGAATTCACCATTCTATTCTTATACACCCAACCATAGCCATCATGCTCTTCATCAAAAGTTGAAATCCTCCAAGACATTGCATTTTTCACTTTCCATAAATTAATTTTGAAAGGGCATCCAGGTTGTCTACATCTTACATACATTCTACTCTTATCATTCTTAGTGAATTTTAATTCCTTGCCATTGTTGTATGCATAATTGTGGACTGCATCTTTCACTTCATCCTTTGTTCAAAATGTTAATCCAATACAAAACTTAGGGGATTTCATATCAGTGCTTGCCCTGAAAACTGGCCATTTATAATTCTGTTCTTCATCACGGTCTTTGCCACTATCTTCATCATCAGACAGATTCAAGCCAACATCCTCAACTACTCTAGGCACACTCAATGTCTGATTTTCAGGAACACTCCCACTCCCATCCACAGTCCCAATCTCTTTCCCTTTCCCTTTCCCAGCCACACTCCCAATCTGTTTCCCTTTCCCAATCCCTTCAAACTCCACAGTTGGATCTACATTAGTCTCAAAGTCTAAGTCATCATGTTCACCACTTTCATTACTGTACTCATAGTTCTCTGAAGCACTGCCTGACTCATCACCCTCAGTATATTCACCCTCTGCAGACCCATCACCATCACCATCACCCTCACCCTCACCAGACTCTCCACAAACAACCCACACTTCCATCTCCTTAGGAAACATTCCAAAATCACATATTGCCCAGCAGTCACTGTCATTTACTATTTCAAATAATTCTCCTGAACTAGTAAGTGTGAAATACTTAAACTCGTCTAGCATGTTATATCCCAATTCTTCAACTGTATCCCTTAATGTTAGCATCCCCCACAAATCGATGTTCAAAGTAAAACATTGAGTAATCCCTCCAACATATCCTATTCCTTTAAGGCAACCACCATGTTTTAGCTTCAATATAAACTGAGCACTGTTTCCATCTATTTCATTAGGACAAAAGAAAAAAAAAATTAAAGAAAGAATAAAATTCAACACTGTTAAATTGGAAACACAAAACTAAACTGATTATTTAAAGCCAATAGCACATGGACCTAGATAGCATACATGTGGTTGATTTTGCAGTAAAAGTAACCAATTCAATACACAATTGTGGTCCCCACTCCCCAATGGGAAAGACAAATGCAAGTGGTCCACACTATATGAATATATGTACTGCACTACATAAAAGTGAACAACAAACCAACAACACATGGACCCATTCAAAACTGCATATGGATCTAGATAGCAACACCAATTATTTAAAGCTAATACTCAGAGAACATACATATATACAGGATAGCATACATATATAAAGGAACTACTTTCAATACTCAGAGAACTCATACATAAGATACAATTTTAGTCCGTAAGTGCTCCCACGACACATAGAACTCATACATGGCACACAAAGATAAACGAACTACTTCCGTACCTGATATATTCGTCTCCATTTGCCTCCCTTCGTCCTGTATTTCGTCTAATTGTTGCGTAGAGCTGCGAATGTGGCCTTTCTTCAATGCGAATTTGGTCTTCAATCTACGAATTACGTCTTCGCCATGGTCTTCGACTGGTAAGATTAGAGTCAAAATTAGGTCTTCCAATGTTAGGTCTGGCTGAGAACGAGAATGAAAAGGGGAAGAAGCAAGGAGCTCTAAAAAAGACGAAATTACCCCTATCTAACGGGCCATCAAACGGGAATATTGACGGAGGACCAAAATTGTCCTCGTCACAATAAGAGTGTCCACAAATTGTCTGACTTTTTTTAAGGAGGACTAAAATTGCCCGTGCCACTATAAGTATAGGACCAAAAATGTCTTTTACTCTATATTTTATGAGTTATAATAATGTATTTTGTATGTCAAAATATTGTATTTTATGAGTTAGAATAATGTACTTTGTTTTTTTTTTTGGACCATGGTCCACACAATAATGATTGTTCTCTCTCCCGCACATTGGGTGCAAATCAAATCCCAGATTGAGCCTAAAAATGTTACAATAATTTGGTTTTTAAACCAGTTATGCCATGATAAATGTTATTAATCCTTCAAATCTTATATAAGCTTTGGTTAAGCAGGTGGATTTTCACAACAACCTACTTTCTGGTCTCAAAACCTCTGTTCATCCTCCAAATTTCTATGTTCAAGATTTTGTTCTAGTTCGCCGGGATCACTTTTTTGAGTGTTTAAAAATTGAGTTGTGTTTTTTTCAAAAAAAAAAATTAGGCTACAAAACGCTTCTAGAACCTTTGAGAGGTAGCAAATAAGGTCTTAAGAAAATAGTATTTCACTCAACTCTAATGATTAAATATCCTTTCATTTCTTGTGGCTTGTTGTTTTTTGAAAATTATTATTTTCGATGTAATATTTTTCAACAGATAGTAAATATTAGAAAAGATGAATTGACGTATAAAGTCGTCTACGCCCTATGGAAACAGAAACTCACCACTCTCAAGTATTCAAAGCAAAGCTTCTGAGTTGCCCCTAAAGTCTAAATTGTGTGGAAACATATATATATATATATATATATATATATATATATATATATATATATATATATATATAGGCATATATATATATATATATATATATATATAGGCGAGTTCAGGTGCGGCAGTGTCTTACGGTGCGGCGATTTCTTACGGTGCGGCAACACCAATAGTTCAACAAATATGCACCATCAACGTTAGGAAAATACACCACACAAAACGGAGTAAACAGAGCCCTGCATCACCAAACACACACCATTAGGTGTGAGTAAAAACACCATACACTGTTCGGAAATACATCATTGGGGTGTGGTGAGTTATATGGTGTATTTTTTTTGAGTCTGTTGTGTATTTTGTGATGTTTTATTGCATTTCATTGTGGTGTGTTTTTATTACACTGTTGGTGCATATTGTTAACACTGTTGGTGTATTCTGGAATTCCGCCGCACGGGAAGACCCCGCCGCATTTGAACTTTATTTTATATATATATATATATATATATATATATATATATATATATATATATATATATATAGGGAAGGGATCGGGTGCATTTGTTGCTTCCCGTGCGGTTGTGCGGTGGATTAATGTGCGTGAGGTTTATACTTAATATGTGTGAGTGTTGTGCTTAATGTGCCTGAGATTTGTACTTATGCGTAATGTTAATATGCGTGAATTTTGTACTTAATGTGCCTGAGTATTGTGCTTAATATGCGTGAGATTTGTGCTTAATGTGCGTGAGTAGTTCAGAATTACGAGCTCATAAAGAAGAAGAACAGCACGCACATTAACGCCCAAGCTTCTTGTTACTTCTTCCTTCAATTTGTCCATGGATTCTGGATTATCAGCTACCTTCAATACAGTTGAATGTTTATATATATGACGCACGCACAGCAAAATCTGCACACTAGCTAAGTGTGGATTTCTGTTGTATTATTCCCATAATTCTTAATCACCACAGCTCGCCTCCGCATCATCATCATCATCAGGGAGAGGGCAATGACTACTGGGATGGGGAAGAAGCTGATATCCATATTTTCTGCTACATTTTACACATTCACGCACATTAAGCACAAATCTCAAACACATTAGACACAACACTCACACACATTGAGTACAAATCTCACGCACATTAATCACCCACACAACAGCACGGGAAACATTCAACCGCACGGGAACCTTCACTCTATATATATATATATATATATATATATATATATATATATATATATATAGTTCCAATCAGGCGGCCAATGCTCTTTAAAGGATTGAAAGCAAATTAAAGCTATGTGACATTTATCTACCTTGCCAAATCAATCATGCAATAAAAAAAAATATAATGTATTGCACACTTAAAAATTTAGTAAAAGTAAAATTTCAACCTTTGATTTTTTGAAATAAAAATTATGAATGTGTTAATACTTTTTATAGGAGAGATTTCATCATCGAAACCATCTCCTTCTTACAAAGTACCTGCTAGGTCCATGTACCGTAGCGTTTTGTTCAATTTAGTTCATGTACTTTTATTGTATTCAATTTAGTCCTTGTACTTGAAGATTTAGAACAATTCAGGACAATATTTAATACCGTTAAATTTTTCCGTTAAGTTTGTCCACGTGACATTCGAATTGCCATGTCAGATTGTGTGATGTGGCATTGCCATGTCAGATTTTGTGATGTGCCATAAAAGAATATAATTTTCAAACAAAATTAGAGTAAGATTCAAACCAACAACCTTTTGTCTAAAGGATGAAAACTCCACCACCAAACTACACATTAATCTTGTTACATGATAATTAAAATTTGTAATAATAGTGTTTTCAAAAAAAAATTGTAATAATAGTAAATCGACTGCATGTAGGCCAAAAATGAATATTTGTCTTACTATTTAAGATGTTATGTTGTTTTGCACTAGTCAAAGCAAAATAAAAAAAAAAATTATGAACTTTTACACACTTTATGGGCCAAAAATGACTTTTTGGCAAGGTGTTGAGAACATAACATCTTAAATAGTAAGACAAATATTCATTTTTGGCCTATGTGCAGACGATTCACTATTATTACAAATTTTAACTACCATGTAACAAGATTGATGTGTAGCTTGGTGGTAGAGTCTTTAGCCTTTAGGCAAGAAGTTGTGAGTTTGAATCTTACTCTAATTTGTTCAAAAATTATATTCTCTTTTATGTCACATCACACAAACGGAAAAATTTAACAGTGTTAAGTATTGTTCTAAATCATATGTTTCAACAACTACTTACATGAAACAACTATTGACATTAATCACTAACCTCACGCACCTTAAGCACAAACCACATGCATATTAACCACAAAACTCACGCACATTAAGTCCAAATCCAAACACCTTAAATTTACTTAGATGCAAAAATTACCAAAATGCCACCACGTTTTTTAATTTAATTTTGGTAAGCTAAACGTTGATTTAAGCAAAATCAATGATTCTCCTTTCACCGCACAACCGCACCTGACACCTTCAACCGCACATGAACCCCTTTATATATATATATATATATATATATATATATATATATATATATATATATATATATATATATACATATATATATATATATATATATATATATATATATATATATATATATATATATATATAGAGAATAGAGAGAGAGATTTTAGTTTAGTAATAAGCACTTGATCCTGACAATAGCATCAAGGCAGGTCACAACCGAATTCAAAAGGAGATTGTTGGGTGACAACCAAAGTTAGGCGTTTAATACTAGCTAAAAAATTCCACACCGTAATTAAGGCTTTAGGAGCAACTCAAATTAGTCAGTAAGCATTGCTTTCAATACTTAAAAAGTTAAAAGTCAGACATTAGGGGCAACTCAGTGTCTAGCTCCACACAGTTTTATTTAGACGACTCAATCCTGACGCAAGTACGCAACTCGTCATGCTTTCTTTCTTTCTTCTTTTTTTTTTTTTTGAATAAGTCCTCATCATCCTTTCTAATATATAAATATATGCTTATGCATTATAAATTTTCAACTTCAAAATCTTACATCACTCCATCTTTCATCAAACAAATTTAATGGCACTATACATCTAACAAAATTTAGAAACACTGCTTACAACATGTCTTTTGATTTTTCCGATAACAACTTGGTAGTTGAGACAACCATAAGCGCCGCACAACTTCCCTTACTTCCTCAATTTCAATATTTAAGATTAGCCTCATACAACCTTCAGAAATTTCCTAGTTTTCTGAAAAACCAACCTAATTTGCGGTTCTTAGATCTTTCCAACAATGCTATTAGTGGAGAATTGAAATTCCTAGCTGGATATGGGGAATCGGTAATGGGCAACTCCTTGTCCTCAATCTTTCTCACAATCATTTGACACATATGAAAGACCCAATGGAATACAATTCTCTTCATGGCCTTGATCTAAATTCTAATATGTTCAGTGGAAAGGTTCCACGACTACCACCCGAGGCTCAGTATTTAGACCTCTCCAACAACACTTTCTCCATGATTCCTCTTGATATATATTGCTGATCAAATCCCACATGTCCATTTCTTTTCCATTGCAAAAATTAGAATTGGTGGAAGTATCCCAGAGCAACTAGAGAGCTTAACCTTCCTACCCTTCTTAAACTTGTCATACAACCATCTCGTTGGAAGGATCCCACAAGGCAAACAATTTAGTACCTTTGATACAAGCTCATTCATGGGAAACAAGGGGCTATGTGGATTCCAGCTTAATGTATCTTGCACTGGCATTAGAAAACCAGTATCTCCACTACCAACATCGAACGAGAAAGAATCAGCTTACCATGGTGATATCTACGCCAGCATTGCATTAGGATTTGCTGGGAGGAATATTTCTGCCACTTCTGTTGTCCAACAAATGGAGATTATATTATAACAAGAAGATTGATGGAGTTCTTTTCAAGGTTTTCTTCAAGAGAGGTCAAGGGAGAAGAAAGAACCATCGTTAGACAAAATCAATCAACAAGTCCAGTTCAGGGCTTACATACATTCTTATTGCATTGGCATCCACCTGGCTTCTGTTTTTATGTATTAAGTGTGGTTGTCCAACTGATCGAGTTTGTAATCTTGGATGTCTAGTATGGTGCTTTTTTATATATATATTTTCTTTTTAATTTTCATGATGGCCTGCATGTTTTTGTTTGTGTTTAGTTCTATTAATTGGGTCAAATTTCGTCATTATATTGTTGTAATTTGGATTGAGTTGTCTGTATAATGTGTTTTACTACTAAATTTACACATTGCATGCCTCTCATGATTTTTATTAGAGTTAATTAATACCTCTAATGGTCCTCCGAGCTGAGTATTTATCAGTTGTGGTCATCTGAATTTTAAATAATCTCCAATGGTCCTCCATATTTTAAAAAATAACCACCCGTGGTCTTAATTCTTAAAAAAATCCGAGTTTAAAATGACCACGAGACGTTCTAAAATGACTACGGGTGGTTATTTTTTTAAACATAGAGAACCATTGAAGGTCATTTAAAACTCGAATGACCACAACTAGTAAATCGCTAATACTCGGAGGACCATGAGAGGTATTAACTCATTTTTATTATTTAATGGCAATGTATGAAAAAATGAATTATATATTTATCCGCAACACTTTGGAGAGGTTGGGTATTGACTCTCATTGGATTAATGTTATTATGGGATGATGTGTGGAGAGAACAAGCTAGATTGGATATTTTGTAGAAAGGCACGCAGATGTACTGAATTTACCACACTAGAGGTCTTAGACAAGGTGATCCAATCTCATTGTACATGTTTGTTGTGTGCATCGAAAGACTGAGCCACATGATCAAAGACAAAGTCAGAAGCAAGCGTTGAAAAGGTGTCAAAATATCCACGTATGGCCCGAAACTGTCCCATTTATTTTTTGCTAATGATATGGTGTTTATTGCAGAGGCTACTGAGGATCAGATCATTAGATTTTTTGGTTGATCCAGATACTTTCTTAAGAATTTCATGTTCAGGTTGATTAAACTGAGTCAAATAATTATAAATAAAATAACAAATATGAATAATATAGCACCTAATTACCTTGGACCTACGAACAATGACGACAGATCGGAGCTGAGGGCACAACTGCGGCCTTTGACGATGACGACGACGACGACGGAGGCCGCAACGGTGACATCAGCGACGACCGTGACCTGCTGTACGAAGACCGGCGACTAATCTGGCGATTGGGCAGAGTGCGAAGAAATTGTCGGCAAAATCTGCTATAATCACTATGTCTCAAACGGCGAAGAGAAGGAGAGAGAGATGGAATAAGGAGAGATTTTAGGGATTTGAATAGAGGGAAGAAGGATAGACTAACACTTATTTAGCGTTTTGAAGTCGTGTTCGGTTAGTTAGTCGAGTCGTGTATCTAGTTGTTCTTCGTTGTGTACTGCATGTTAGTTGGAAAAATCTGCACGATTTTCCTTACCACGCGTTGAGTCTTTGAGTTTTGGTGTTCTAGATTTAATATATACAGACATTTGGGTCCTGCTCATCTTTTATCATTTAGTGGTTATCGTTATTTTGTGGATGACTATTCTCGTTATACTTGGTTTTTTCCTATGCGTTTGAAGTATGATATTTATGGCATTTTTTTTTATCAAGTTCATGCTTTGGTTGAACGTTCCTTTTCTCGCAAATCAAGCCTATTCAATCTGATCTTGGTGTTGAATATAAAATGTTGCATTCTTTACTTTTGATCATAGGAATCAATCATAGACAATCATGTGCTTATACTCATAAATAGAATGGTTGTGTAGAGCGTAAGCATAGGCATGCATATTGTTGAGACTGAGCTAACACTTATAGCTCATGCCTATGTTCCTTCTCGGTTTTGAGACTTTGCATTTGAGTTTGTTGTCTACCTCATAAATAAAATGTGGTCAACCACCTGTGTCAGTTTATGCATAGTCCTACTCAAGATCATTTTGCTGCTCTGAAGTGGGTTCTGCGGTATGTAAAAGGGACAATTGATCTTGGTTTACGGCTATCTGGGTCTCCAACTAGAACAGTACATGGTTTCTCTGATTCTGACTGGGCCAACTTCTATATCAATAGGAAGTCTACGATCGATTTTGCTGTGTTTCTTGGTTCTAACTTGGTTTATGGGTGTCTAGGAAGGCCGGAGCAGAGTACAAGGCCCTCACTGATGTTGCTGCGGAAGTTGCCTGGATTCAGCCCTTACTGCGTGAGCTTGGTTTGTTTCTCCCTTCTCTTCCAGTTCTTTGCTGTGATAACTGATAATCTAGGTGCGACATATTTGTGTGCTAATCTGGTGTTTCACGCTCGGACAAAACACGTAGAGATCAATTATCATTTTGTGCGTGAACGAGTTACTGCTGGTGATCTCTAGGTTAATTTTCTTTCAACTAAAGATTAAGTAGCGGATATTTTGACAAAAGCACTTCCGAGTTCGCGGTTTGCAGAGTTACGGATCAAGCTGGGCGTTGTTCCTTTTCCACCGTCCACTTGAAGGGAAGTATTAGTATATATATTTAGTTTAGGACTCTCTTGAGTTTATTATGTTACAACAGGACTCTAATTGTGTATATATGTTTTGTAATCTTCTTGTATCTTATGTGAACGTGAATATACAAACATCTTTCACCGTTTCGCTACATACTAGTTATAGGTTTTAGTTTAGTGGTAAGCACTTGATCCTGACAATAGGTATCAAGACAAGTCACAACCGGATTTAAAAGGAGATTGTTGGGCGACGGCCAAAGTTACGCTTTTGCTACCCGCTAAAAAATTCTGCACCATAATTAAGACTTTAGGAGCAACTCAAATTAGTCACTAAGCATTGCTTTCAATACTTAAAAAGTTAAAAGGCAGAAGGGTCAAATAGACCCATGTACTAACATTGATTATTCAGCTAGCACTATGAATTAATATATGGTCCATCTAAACCATTATACTCTCAATTATTTTTCATCTAGCATTTTTAGCAAGTTTCCAACAACTAACCCATATAATTTGCTTACATGGAAAAATAAAATAAAAACAAAATGCTGACATGCTATTTTTTTCATCTAATAACTTGTTGTTTTTGTCACGTTTTTATGTAGAAAAATTCATATATATTTTTTACATATTTTCTGATTATGTTGATTTTTTATATGGCTTGAAAGATTCCAACACCTCCTCTAAGCAGAATGCATCCATGCTGTTGTTATCATAAATTTTCCCTGCAAAATGTATATTTTTGTGGTGGAGGGGTACCCCATTGCCTTAAAAAATATGGCCGCTCCCCTCGGGGACATACAGTCTCCTTTCTTCCTTGTCTATCTCTTTCTCTTTTTAGTGCTGCACATTATACCTCATAACGCGAAGTTCCTTAGCTGTTACTTTAGTCAGACTGTAGCTGCAGTCAGTAAACACAAGCATGTTCTTTTCGTATCTACACGTACTCAAAGAACACGCCAACATTTTATTTTAATTTTATTTTTCCATCTAAACAAATTAGATGGGTTATGTTGGAAATTTATATAGTAATGGAGATTAATGTTTCAGATGAACTACCATGAAAGCTTAAATAATATTTGGAGTTGTGGAGTTGTAAATATTATTTTAGTTTGGTAGAAAGTTAAGAAAAATACTGTGAGAAATTTATATAGCTAATATGCTTGTGATATATAGCTAATATGCTTGAGAGTTATAATATGCTTGAGAGTATATAGCTATATGCTTGTGATATATAGCTAATATGCTTAAGAGTTATAGCTAATATGCTTGAGAGTGTTAATGCATGTTTGGATATTTTCATTCGTAAGATTTTGGGGCATTTTGAAGTTATATGCTTCAAAACTACACTTAACGTGCTTGGAATATGCTCTTCTATTTATGCATTTTGAAGCTATATGCTTCAAAATTACACTTAACATGCTTGGTATATGTAGCTGTATGCTTGAGATTATTGAACTACATATATGTATATTATTTATATTTATTCCTTGCATGTTTCCATGCGTAAGGAATATATAAATATATATATGTATATAATTTTGCATACAGTTACTGACTCAATATATATTTTCTCCAGTGATAGATATATCAATCAGGATATATCTTATCTTTTGGAAGTTGAGTTTTAAATTACAGCAACTTCCATGTAACTTCTCCAAACAGATATATTTTGCATCTATATATACTTGGAGAAATGTCTGAAAAAGGAACATGCAAAAACTTGCATTTTAACTGAGATTTTCACAGTACTGCAATTCTACAGGAAGTTCTTAAACAAAGCAACTTAAGAGTTTCATCATCTTCTTGTATCCCATAAGATTAAATCTTGAACCTTGTTGCTTTATATAAGGGAGATTTAAAGCTTATAGGAAAATGATCACACGCATGAAGATCCTGTTTCCTCAGTTCCCTATCTTCAAACACTCCATAAATCTAACAATCTATAAGCTTTAAAATCTGTTTCTGAGGAAGGATGAGTTCTGGACTTCTGGACTTTGCAACCAACTTCCCTAAGTTGGAGCAGTTTGAAGGCGTGGGCTTCCGTAGGTGGCAGAAGAAGATGAAGTTCCTCCTTGCGGCTCTGAACGTTGCATACGTACTAAGCACCCCAAAGCCGGAGGAACGGGAGGATGAGACTCTCGAAGCTACTCACCGGAGACTCAAATGGGAGAATGATGACCTTTCTTGCCGCGGCCATATTCTAAACGGTATGTCTGACACCCTCTTTGATATTTATCAATATGAAGAATCCTCAAAGGACCTCTGGGATGTACTTGAGGCAAAGTACATATCTGAGGATGCCTCCAGTAAGAAATTCCTGGTAAGTGAGTTCAATGATTATAAAATGGTGGACAATCGTCCGGTCATGGAACAATTCCATGAGATTGTCAGGATACTTGGACAAATGAGGCAACATGATATGAATATAGATGATTCCATTGTCATTGCCAGTATCATTGATAAGTTGCCCCCTTCCTGGAAAAAGGTACAACGTACCTTAAAGCATAAAAAGGAAGCTCTTACCATGGAACAGTTGGAGGTTGACCTTCGGGTTGAGGAGGGAATCAGACTGCAGGAAAGTAAGAATGCAGGCAATGCAAAAGTCACTGGGCTTCAGGTTTTGTTATAAACTTTGTTGATGAAGGCAAATCAAGTGGGAACCATAAAGGGAAAGGGAAGCCAGGAAAAGCCACAAATTCTTCAAAGTTTAAGAAGAAAGGAAAAGGAAAAGGAAAGGCATCTGTATCATGCTGGATGTGCAACGGTCCACACTTTAAAAAAAAAACTGTGAAATCTTGAAGAAAAGAAAGGCACAAATGGAAGGTAAAAATTCTGGTGATCATGACCAGGGAAGTGGCCAATGGAAACAAGGTAAAACAATTAATCTTGTTTCTGATAGTACTGAACATTTCATTGCTATGATATCTGAAATTTGTGTCATGCAGACTGATGACTCGTGGTGGGTTGACACTGGGGCAACCAGACATGTCTGCAAGGATATAAATCTATATAAGATTTATAAAGGTCTGAATGATGGTCCGAGCCTGTACATGGGAAATGATTCCATGGTAAAAGTCAAAGGCATTAGACAAGTTGAATTATTGCTTACTTCAGGAAAGAAGTTAACGCTCACAGATGTGTATCATGCCCCAGATGTTAGAAAAAATTTAGTTTCTGGCATTGTATTGAACAAGTGTGGTTTTAAGCTTGTGTTTGAAGCAGATAGATTTATTTTATCTAAGGCCGGTACCTTTGTAGGCCAAGGCTTCCTATGTAACAATATGTTTAAGTTGAATATCAATAATATTGTTGGTTCTGTGTATTCAGTTTGTACATCTTCATTATGGCATTTTCGTTTATGTCATGTAAACTATAAACGCTTATGTGAGATGGCGAAAGATGGATTAATTCCATCCTTTGATTTGAACATTGAACAATGCAGTGCGTGCATGTTGAATAAAATAACTAGGAATCCTTTTCCTAGTATAAAAAGGAATTCAATCTTACTTGAATTAATTCACAGTGACTTGTGTGATTTTCATAGCACCCCATCTCTGGAAATAAAAAATATATAGTCACATTCATTGATGACTATTCAAGACTCTGCTATGTGTACCTCCTGCATTCTAAAGATGAAGCGTT